AAATCGCGCAACTTTGGAGGGCGGTGAGATTTGAACGGCCCGACACCAGTATCAGAAGCCCGGCCGGCATGATGCCAAGCGGTTCAAGCGCACCTTCGTCCCTTTGAGACATGACAAAACGTGGCCAATGCAAACGTAATGAATCGTTTGCGGAAGCGCACAGCTGCCATGTTCAATGCTCATGGTACCTACAGGGTGATTTTTCACCCTGGATTTTTGATTTTTATACAGGGCAAAAAGTAAAGAGCAATAGCGGTACCAGAAAACATATCAACTGCCAGAAAATTTATAGGTATTTTTGTAATAAACACATTCTCACATTTCATCTGCACACGAAACTTTGAGTTTAAGCTCCGTTTAGGCTTACAGAGCGTGCTTGAAGTGAGCACCGTTTTAATGCGCGCAAGCCTGAGCTCTTTAAATGCAAGATTAAACGTGAGAATTAACCCGCGCCCTGCTGGGGGGGGTGTTTGAACACCCCCCCTTGTGGTTTTTCGCGAATATCTCAAAAACGGCGGCGCGGAGCGCCGCCGTTTTTTGTACACCTTATCATACATCAATTCTACACATGTTGTGAAAATTTCAGACCAAGGTCATTCAAGGTCAGGTCACCAGGTCACTTGAAGTGACCTCACCTCATAAAAAGTTTCAATGTCTGTCATAGCTACACCGAGTGACCGATCGCTTTGAAACTTTCAGCGATTGCTAAGAGCAATAGCATGTACAAAATGTATATCTCAGAATTTTGATATCGATGACCTAAGGTCAGGTCAATTTTGCGACCTCCCCATTATAAGTCAATGGGAAAAAATTGAAATGCGCCACTTTTGGACGAAAGACATTATAAACACTCCCAAACACTGAATTACAAGTAGTTTAGACACACTGAACATGGAAATGGTGTCCGTGACCCCTGTTTATGCCCTGAGGTCATCTTAGGTCACGAATGGTATCTAACAGTTTTTCGCAAATAACTTTTGATAGAGGCATGCTAGAGCGATGAAAACGCCTTAGATATGTTCAGCTCGACAATACGGATCGACTGATATGCAACATGACCCTTTCCGGTCAGGTCATGACCTTGACCTGAGGTCAAATTTTCAAGTTGACCTTTCAAGGTCAAGTTATAGTTCATTCGATGCGTCTTGACGAGAGGAACACGATGCCGGTAAAAGTAAGCTCGTACAAGGCATGGGTCAAAAGTTATTGCAGAAAAACTGTTTCCGAAAAAATCGGCTATTTTTGCAGTTTTTGCCCCCTGCAGGCAAAACCGTTGACGTTGGGTCAAATCTGAGAGAATTACTCAGAAAGGGCGGTAATAGGGCTATCGAATGCGCTTTTCCGCGGCGCTGTAGCTCTATTGGTTCCCGAGTTATGCGTTGGCTTCTTGGAAATTGTCGACATTCGACCTGGAAATCGGCGAAATTTTGCCTTCAATGACCTCTGGTGACCTGACCTTTGACCTGACCAAAAAAATGACCGAAGTGATTTCGTCATTATTTTAGACGCTCTTTCGAACGCCGCCTTCCGCGTATCGCTACGTGGCCCAGGAGCCGAGTTAGAAGGGGGGGTGTTCAAACACCCCCCCCCCCAGCAGGGCGTGGAAATCCAGGACCCCCAGCCGGGCGCGGGTTAAATGTGTTGCGTTGCTCGGATGACAGCGTACCTACTCGCTAAGCTCACTAGTCACTATATGACAGAATGAACAGAATGAGTCCCAATAAGTCTCTAAAAGGTCCTGAAAACAAAATGACAAACAATTTTCTTTCACATGAATATATTTTTTCGCGTTTGTTAAATGTTTCGGTACCTCTCGTTTAAAATCTTTTTACTCTGTAAAAAATCACCCTGTGCAGTTTACAATGCCTATATCCCAAATAATTTGGAAACCACTGCACCATCTAGGTATCTGTGAAACTCTACAGAATTAAGGCTTCATGTATGCACGCACGCATGCATCTTAACACTCGCACCGACGCGACGGGGGTCTGCGCCAACTTCGTACCGACGGGGGGGGGGGGGGCGGATGACCGCCCCCCCCCCTGAGATCTCGAGAACGAAGCAAGATAGCGACAAGCGGTAAACGGCATGGGATACGCACGGACAAGGTCTACAATTTTTTAAAGGTCATTTTCAGGTCAGGTCAAAGATGACGTCACAGGGGTCAAAAAAGTCAAAATGGCGGCGCTAGATATGGAGAGAGTTTTTCTCGAATAACTTTCGAACAAGTCAAGATAGGAACAATCTAAGGGCATCATCGTGATCCTCTCGTCAATCCGCATCGAATGATATATATGTTGACCTCGAAAGGTCAAGGTTAAAGGCTGACCTCAGGTCACGTGACCTCGAGGTCATCATGTATATCATTCGATGCGTCTTGACGAGCTGAACACAATGACATCCGCGCGGCTGTATCTTGTTCCTGTACGGAGTTATTGGCAAAAAACCTTTGGTGACCTTTGATGACGTCACATGACCTTACAGCTGCCCAACAGCAAAACAGACCTCAAGGTAGTGTCGGTTGATCGTATATGAAGTCATGTATGGTATATGGGGCCATTCCGACCCGTTTTAGTGGTAAAAACAGGGAGTTGATTTTCCCCCATTGACTTATAATGGGGAGGTCGAGAAATTGACCTGACCTTAGGTCACCGATATCAAAATTCCGAGATATACAAATTGTAGCTACTAATGACCTAATAACATCCTGCGACTTTCAATTTTCAAAGGCCTCCGACATCTACTGTAGCTCTGGCATGGTGACAAAGTTGCAAAAAAGCGACTTGAGGTTGGGTCATTCAATGTGACCTGGTGACCTGACCTTAAAAGTTAGGTGGTTCAAACTTGCACACCATGTGTAAAATTGATGAGAGAATAGTCGTACCAAATTTCGCGGCGCTACGCGCCGCGGTTTTCCCGCTATTCGCGAAAAACCTCAGGGGGGGGGGGGGCGGATATCCGCCCCCCCGTCGGTGCGCGTGTTAATGCCGTAAAAAGTTTTGTAAAATGCCAAGCTGCCCTGCATCATCTTCTGCGGCTATCGAGCAGAGGTTTGGTACCTAATCTCTGATGCCCTGTTCCGACTGGACGCGCTCGAGCAGTACGAGCCACGGCTCAACGGGCCGGCGAAAATGAGACATCTATTGCTCCACACACCGATCCTCATACGCAAGTCATCCCATGCCCTCCTACTGCCTTCACGCGATCTTTAGCAGTCTGGTTAAGAAATATACGGATACGTCCAATGTCACGAAGCGACGACCGCTACATTTCTGACATCTCATCCCACATTACTCTTTTATTAGTTCCAAGGGCCGAGGCATCGCCGATGTATTTTTTTTTTTTAATCGATCACGGGCGGGCGGGTCTGTTTGTCCCGACCAACCCTATCACGTCCACCCGCGCCGTACTGGATCGCTCGACCTGACCCGCTGAGCGAGCTCCTTTCGTGAAAATGGGCCTGTCGGCTGTCTGTCTCCGTGGTGACCGATCGGCCGGAGACCGCCGAGACGGCCGCGCTTCTGCCCGCCGGGGGACGGGTGAGCGTCCCGCGTCAGCCCGGGGTGTGCTCCGCATTCCAAGGGAGGGAGAGGTTGTGTCCCATCTGAACCACATCAACTTAAGCAGACCTTTCGTATAGTCGATTGTTGATACCTACTTTTCAGATTCTAAAGTAACATCAAGGCGTCATATTGTAGACCAAACAATCATTGGTCGTGAAAACATCCATTGGTAACATTTGGTATTACAACAGGATGCGGAAACTTTCGTTTTTACGGCTTCCGGCGCGCTGGTTGTGCCTGCGGCGCCGCGGCTGGGCCGGCGCGGTGCTGGTGTACCGAATTCCCACGGACCCGGACACGGGCCGCTCACTTCTCCGAGTCGTCGGATCTCGGACCGAGCGGCGGCCCGCCCGTCTCGCGCGGACGATCGGAGCCGCGCACTTTCACTGAACGATGCAGCCGCCGGCCCCATTCTATTTGACGAATAATTACAGCTGTTTCGGGAGCAAACATTTGAATGGCAATGGCCGAGCGCCTAGCCATCGGGCTTGCGAGGACATCAAATACAACCTCAGCATTATTGGAGGCGATTGATAGGTTCGCATAATTTCTACGCTGGTCCAATCGGAAGCCACTGGCGGATCCCGAAAGGCGCTTTTGGACGCTGCGGGGGATACCCCCAAACAAGTTTCTCAAAAGTCTTAAGAAAAGTCGTCGGATTTCGATTCCTTACGCACTGCTGTGCCGTTTAAAACAAACTTTCCTAATAATAAATGTATAGTTTTCGTTCTCAAACCGCAAACTTTCGTCGATTTACGGGCGCTGCGAGGTGGGGTGAGGGGTGGGGGCATTTGCCCCCCCCCCCCACCCGGATCCGCCAGTGTCGGAAGCAGGTCTCGGTAAACGGATGGCAGATTCGCGTACATTAATATCACTAGCACATTACTGCGAGAGCTCTATACACCCAATTATGGTTATCGATGCCCGGCGAGACCGGATGCGGACGCGGCTGAGGCCGTCAAAGCCCAGCACGGCTGAGGCCGTGTCGGGACATTTTTTGGCACTAATGGTGGGTAACAGGAAGTGCAAGTAATTACAATGAATCCAAATCCACTCGTCTCCAGAAAGCACCAGAGATGCGTTCAGCAGATAGCACGAGCCCCATTCACCCATTTGCAATTTAGCCTGATCCGCTAACCATACTGCCAACAAATGTGCCCGAAAATGCTTTCGCCTGATACCAATTTTCTAGGCTGCCATATCCTCATTTCTTGCCACTTGTCAGGATCACAAGGCATGAATACGGCATATTTTCGGCCTCTGTACAGCTGGTGTCACTTGAAATCGCTCATTAACTCCGCCTGGGAAAGTGAGCCAGTGCCGCGTCACAGGCCGGCGGCGAGCGGCCCGTGTGAAATGAGCCCCACAGACGCGATGTGGGACAGGAGGCCACACCGCACACCCGGCGAACGGTCCGCGACCGGCACACACCGCAGCCTAGAAATCGACTCTGTATTCCATGATACACGCCTCACATATGGCAGTATGGAATGAGCATGGTACACGGGTGAAACACGAGGAATGCGGGCGCACATGAGACAACAATCAGGTACAATATAAATAACGAGGCATACGAACGCCGACGTAGAAAATGACCGCTCACGACAGCCTTCGTGAAATACTGGTGTAACAAAATTGCACGGGACAACTGTAGCGCTGGTGAAATGTAAAACAGCACATCTCGGTGGGGCGTCCGTGAGCCGATCCGGTGCCGGCTGACGGGCGGCGCGTCACGTCTCGGGCTGTCGGTCATTTTCTCCGCCGGCCGGCGCCGGGTCAGCGCGCCGCCGCCTCGGCGGCCGCCAGCAGCTGGCGACACCGCTCCACCTCGGCCTCGCGCTCGCGGCACACCTGTCGCGCCCGGTCGGCCTCGCGCTCGGCGGCCGCCAGCCGCGCGCGCAGCGACGCCGCGTCTCCGGCCGAAGACGACGACACCACGGGGGCGGGCACTGAGGACTCGGGGCTGGCGCCGAGCCGCTCTGCCGCCGCCGGGCTCAGCACACCCACCTGCCGGCAGGCGGCCACAGGGTCAGACGGCACGCCTCCACGACACGGACAATACAGACACATTAGCATATAGGTGTCTCTACTCTCTACCACCGTAATATACCGCACTGCCGCACGCTATGATATGATATGAACTATACGTGGAATGCTACCAAAGAACCCCGATTCGTAACACATGATCACCAGACCTTGCTCAACACCAACGCTATATTCCAATCGACAAAAGTACATTCCATATCGCATCACAACCCTAGCTTTTAGCTACCAGAGGTCGAAGTCTAGCGCCCTCTTTGTGCCCCCATCCGGCACACCCAAGGAGTCGTCCTTACCGGTAGGCGGCCGGCCGGCTGCTCGGTCAGCCCATTGGTGCCGCCCGCCGCCGCGCCGACAGGCACAAACTTGAGCCGCTTGGCGGCGCTGGCCGGGTCGGGCGGCTTGCCGCCGGTCGAGAAGGGCAGCTTCAGCTGGAGCGGCGCCGCCTTGCCGGCCACGGTGGCAGACTTGCCGCGGCCGCCTGCCGGGGTGTGCGGGGTGACTGTCAGTGTCGGACGACGCCGGTTAGTTGCCACGGGCGCTACGGCCGGGATTCACCCGCAGAGCGTGACCCAATAATGACAGACATTATTTAGTTCCATCTGGCGCGGTGCAGCTAACGGCTCACCGGCGGAAGCAGTGATGGATGAGCCAAATGGCAGCGCTGCCTGCAATGACACCCCATTTGTTGCACACAGGTGCCGGTGAAAGTGAGAAATCGAAGGAGATGAATATTAGTGGCCGCACACTGACATGATTTCCCGAGCGCACCGTTAGAAACTGTGATCCCCATCGCGAACGGCGCATCTGTCGGCGGCCGGTGAGAAAGGCCCCGCGGTCCGACGCACACACACATACACACACACACACCTGTCAGCTGCGCGAACTGCTCCGGCGTCAGCTTGATGATCTTGGAGACCTTGCCGCGCGGTTTGCCGGCGCCTAGCGGCGGCGCGGCCGGGGCCGGGGCGGGGGCGGCCGAGGTGGTGACCGGCGCCGCCGTCCGCCCGCTGCCGCCGCCGCCGCCCACTTTGCTGTCGGTTGAAGACCCAGCCGGCGTCTTCGGTTTACTGAGACCGAGCGCCAGGGCGCCGGCCGCTGCGGGGAGGGGACACACACCGGTCAGACGGCGGTCACACATGCCAGGTACAATGGCCACGCACCGGTCAGATACAGGGCCAAACACAGTCGGAAATAACCTGACGAAGAAAGGGTTACACTCACAGCAGAACATTCTCCACAGGTGCTTCGGTGAATGACGCGTGCTTGATAAGAATGACACAAGCTTGACGACAAAAATAATAAAAAGTTCAAGTCCAAATAATAAATAACACGCAACCTAAGAGTACTTACTTTGGCGAGCTTGCAAGCATCTAATCGCTAGCGCCTAGTCGAGTTCATATATAGCTGAATGGCTTTGCACCGGACGAAAGCTGCTGCACCCACGACACGCTTTAGCTCTAAGCGCTGGGCAGGTCAAACGAGCCTAATTTTAGTAACTCCACACTGCCGTGACCACTCTTTAAACGCCCTAACCGTTTGCTGACGGAGTGAATCCGACATCAAATCGGTTCGGTACCTCAGTTGGTAAATCGGGGGACTTCCGGCGACGAGTAGTCGGGCCCGACTCATTCCGGCGTTACATGCAATGTAATCCAAGTAACCTTTAAGTTAAGCTTTCATTTATCCAGGAAACGGATATAATTCGATCGGGGAAATTGAGATCACGGCTCACAGATGCAGCTGTTTGACGTGGGCTTCATCGATTCATTCATTCAAAATATACGAGCTGAATAAAAAAGTTTCTTCCTATTGTGTACCTACATGCAGACCTTGCCTTACGCCGGCCTATGTAGTCATAACATTCCAGATACCTAGAAATTGACCGTACCTAAGTTTGCAGCACCACTCGATAAAAGCCATCTGAGGCCTCTTGCACCAAAATCCTCTTGCACCAATGCTTGGATTATTTTGCATCGTATACCCAGTCCAAGTCTCAAATGTAACAATTTGCGTGCAAAATTTAGCAAGCACATGTAGGACAATGTATTGGGCTATTGCAAACAAATTTACCACCGTTAGATTAGCTTATTCTGAAACCGGTTTTTCGATTTTACCTAGCTAGGTAGTTTGGTGCAAGAGGCCTCAGCACTGCAGTTTCTGTCACGTGACTTTTCCCGGATGCCAACTTCAGGCATCCGCCGCCCACTGCCAGTGTTCTACAGGTCACGTGACATAGCCTCATCAGCGGCCCGAAGAGGCCATAAATAGAGTGGCGGCGATCTCTCGTCGGTGCGACTTTCGTCGGCCGTCGACTCGGCGGTCCATAAAGTGTTCGTGTTCGCAGCGTTAGCGGGCTGTGGCCGAGGCCCGCCGCTCACCGGCCGGCCGCCGGTCACAGCCGACCAGCACTGCTGCCCATCCCGCCTTTCTCCGGCCCTCAGTCGGACCGTGCCTACGACCCCATTTCTTCCAATTCAGAAATACTTTCTTTAGACAATCCAGTGGTGCCCTTGATGAGTGATGGCCTTGAAATACAATGACTACGCTAACGATAGCCACGACAAACGTTTTAAGATGAAGGGCTGCCTATCGTAAAACTCGAGACACACACACAAAAAAAATAACTGCACCTAAAAGCAGACCTGATGCGACAAAGAACTGACAATTAGAAACAAAAACGCTTCCACTATTTAATAATCCCTCATACAACCGTCAGCTCACTGTTGCCTGACGTTTCGAGGCACTATTCACCCAACACGGACAGGAAGATCCCTCCCCCGGGCGGCTCATTCGCAGCGTTAGCGGGCTGCGAGATGGTCATCCCGCTGGACCACGGGGACCCACTCCCAGTTCCCGCACAGACACCTCCCGTCCCTCCCCGCACACACTCACCGGTGAGCGAGATGGTCTTCCCCGCGGCCAGCGCCGCCGGCAGCGTGCTCGTGTCCTCCACGGGCAGCATGGTGATGCCGTGCGAGGCGAGCAGTCGCAGCGCCTCGCGCTTCCCTGCGGCACAGCGGCGCGGCGCCGGCGTCAGTGGTGACGGAGACGGGCGCGCGGGGCGGGACTGCGCTTAGCGGTAACGTGGCCGGATGGGCAGCACATGACTGGAGAAGTAGGGTTAATGCAAATTAGAAACAGAGCAATGTCGAGTTTAACGTTGGACAGCAATGCCATGGTAAAAAAGCGTAGAAAAGGTATATCGCAGCGAAAATTGTTTCCTAGCGAGGCTAGCACAGCGGAAATCTCTCAACCCGTTCAAACGAGCACCTATCTCTAACGTAAGAGTAACCCGTGACGATCGGACATTCGCTATTCCGTCGGTCGCATCCTACGCTGCGTTTACTGTGTGTGACTTATCAAGCACGCGTCATTCAACGCACACCTACATAAGGACGAAACATGACAAAACAAAAGAAGCGTCAGCAGCCTCAGCAAATACTTTGCAAACGAACTGAACTAAACCAACCAAAACACACGACAAGTCACTCTGACATTGTAAGCACACTCCGTAGCGTGCCTGCATCGCCCCAGACAGCGTTTAATGCACATCGCATGCGTCTCTTCAGTGTCGCCACGCATGCCGGCAGTGCGCCTCTAGAAACTAGAGCGAATCTAATAATCGACGCGAACACGCCATACGACAAGTCGACAGACTATCGCTAGTGGGGCGCCGACTGCGGGTTCCTCGCCGCGACCGGGGCGCCGCCGTGCCAGGCAGTGCGGACTGAGCGGTGGGTGCCGGCCGGGTGGGGGTACGGGCGCGCCGCGCCGCCCCGAGTACCTGTCAGTCGCGCCGCGGAGGCCGCCTCGGCCACCGTGGCCAGCGTGGACATGCCGTCAGCTGCAACAGGCGACGGGCCGCTGACGCACGCCGGCGACACAGAGACAGCGCCCCCGCCCACACCGGCCATGCAGGGTGCGTGTTAGTGGGCGACGCCAGGACTCGGGCACCAAGGTGGGCGCCGCGTACCGCCAGCCAGCCGGCAATGCAAACTGAACGACACTCTCTCAGCCATAAACGGTGCTTACTGTAAAGCGAGAGTTAAATAAGAAAAGGTCACTTTGAAGGAGCAGTTACTTATTTGGCTTTATTTAGGTTACTGCCGTTAAAACCGAGAAGCGCAACTGTATTCGCGTTACATGTTACCCGAAATGACACTAAATCGAGGTAGCAAGAAAACTGATATCGACAGAATATCGCGCTCTTAGACCAAGAAACTATCCTGTGACCGACCTCGTACCATCAGGACTCGCCATGCTATACCAAATCACTACTCGATAATGTACGGCATTGACCGCCTTTGAAATAGTCGAATGCTAGGATGGCGACGACTAGCTATTACAGCGCGTATAATATTAACTTAACATAGCACAGCACTGCATTCAAAGTCACAAGCATATATCAAACATACGCATTATAATGAAAAGCTTATATCAAATCTACGCTTGAAAGACATCGGCCACGTTACCACAGCAAGTGAATAATGCTCCCCAGGCAGGCCAGGCGGGCTGGTTTACACAATATATGCACTCAGTGCAGTCATTCAGCGCCACCTAGTTACAGAGGTAGTGGCACCGTTACGTAGTGAGATACATGGGGTACAGTGAGAGGTCAAAACAGCACTGAGACCGCGAGTGTAAGCTGGCGCTTTCAATGTAGTGCGTCCAATCTCTACTTTACGCTTCCTTCTTTAGCAGACCAATCACAGCCTTATGCAGGCCTTATGTTTCACCTGCCGTACATAGCAAGCGAAACATTTCCATGTTTCCCTCACGATCTGAGGCACCAGCCTCCCCCGATTCCCGGCCGTCTGTCCGGCGGCTGACTGACCTGCCTGGTCGGTCGGAGACAGCTCGGGCAGCTGCAGCCCCGGCGAGGTGGCCGCCGCCGGCGAGTCCGGCAGCTCAGGTGGCGGCTCGGGCGCCGGCTCGGCCGCGTCCACACACAGCGGCGCGCGCGTCAGCTCCGGCAAGATGCTGTTGACGGCGTCCTCGGTGGCCGAGGCGGTGTTCTCCACCCGCTCCGGCTGAGTCCGCGGGTTGTCCGCCCGGTACACCTCGTAATTCTGAGCACCGCGAAATGGGTGAACGCAATCAGTTAGTAGGGCGAAAAGACGCGAAAAATGCCAAGAAATCTTGCAACACATCACATGTATGCATAACAGCACAAATAGACACCACGTTAAAACATCGTATACCTTCATGGGCCTCTGTATACAGACTTCAATGACTCATTTAATCACTGCAAATGTAGTAGCACCATGACAAGGTGCACAAGAACTGGCCTGCCTGAACATACCTCCAACATTTCCATGATTCCCGGATGCCCATTGTCACAGGCAATATCTCTGGGGGTCTTGTCGAATTTGTTCTTGACGGTTACATCCGAGCCGCATCGAAGCAGCCACTCAATGCACTCGATGTGAGCTCTCTCCACCGCCCAATGCAGAGGCGTCATGTTCAGCTGCCGGCCAGAGAAAACACATGTAGTTTTGGTTCTCAAACTTGTGAAAAAGAAACTGAACATTAAAACAAAAGAGCTAATATTTTGACATCGGATGCTTCCGCCTGAGCAAAACCATTCCCCGATTTAACTCGTCCGTCTGAGCAACTGCTGCAAGGCCATCGACCCCATCGGGCGAGCGGCCACCCACCATGTCTCTGACGTTGACGTCGGCGTGGTTCATGAGCAGCAGCTCCACGATGTTGGTGAAGCCCTCGGTGGCGGCCAGGTGCAGCGGCGTCTTATCGACCTTGGTGCGCGCGTCGCGCGAGATGCCGGCCGCCAGCAGCACCTCGGCCACCTCGTAGTGGCCGTACATGGCGGCCATGTGCAGCGGAGATGTGCCCAGCTGTCGGCGCGGCACCGGTCAGACGGGCAGCGGCAGCCAGCTCACCGGGTCACACTCTCAGGACTCGACGGCAGCCTGATATAGCCAGTCAATGAACCTAAATCGTCGACAAATGTGACACTAAACATTATGCTCAACAACTACCAAAACAATAACATTAAGTGGCTTAAATTTGTTTTGTGACTTCGTTTTGTGACTAGTCAATTTGCAGCTTACAGGCACGTCCATTACGTGGTCATTTGGGAGTTTTCCACGATTTCTGTCCTGATCACGTTTCGTCCTGATTAAGGTGTTTTGTAATGTGACAGCACATACCCAGTCGGTGGTGAAGGGCGCTCCCTGCTTTATGAGCTCCTTGATGCGGTCCACCTTGCCATCGGCGGCCTGCTGCAGCAGCTCGCGCCCAAACTCCTGCAGGCTGTTCTGCGTAAGCGGCTGCAGTGGCCGCTGGCTGGCATTGCCGGACGCTACGGCCACCGCCGCTTTGATTAGCGCTAGCTCGCTGACCGTTAGCTGCGTGCCCGCCTGCGCCTGCCGCCAAAAACAGCCTCATTAGTTCAACCTGAAGCAAAAATAACTTCAATTTCAGCTTCAAATTTGAAGCTAATTTACAAATTGGTTAAATTCTGTCAATAGCTTTTAGCCAGGGATGCGGAGCCGTGGAAATTTCAGACGGCTCCGGCTCCGGGAAAAAAATCGGCTCCGGCTCCGGGTGAAATGTCATGGCGGCTACGGCTCCGGTTCTGAGTAAAATGGTACGCCTCCGGCGGTTTCGGCTCCGGCTCCGGCTCCGACTCAGTACATCCCCATATGCGATCAATTAAATGCAGGTGGCCAAAACAATGGCCATCACCTGATGACCGGTCCTCAGGTTCTGGGGCTGCAGTAGATGTGGGGAGGGAGGAGCAGACAGGAGGTTGATTACATACTGAAAAAAATTGTACTGCACGGGGACCCGCAGTTGCTACTGTACACGAACCCCAACTCGAGCCGTCTGTCCTGTCCAGTAACAACCGATAACATTGATATCGACTGCCGGTCCCTGTACAAGAGCAGCTGAGGTTTTCTGTGCTTGCCCTCTGACAGCTTATCATTGTTTCCTGTGAGGGTGCTGGGACAATTTACTCAGGGTCGCTGTACAGTAGCAACTGCGGAGTGCGGGTCCCTGTACACCGGGGATACGTATTCAGCTTTTTTCATTCACGTGATGGCCCATAACGTACCACATGTTTTACTGCCTTGGACTGTCAAACCGAATTAGGTCGATTAGCCTTTTCCTCTTAAAAAAAGCCCGTGTCGCCCCCTTCTTTGACGGCTCCGGCTCCGGCTCCTCACCCCTGCTTTTAGCATAAAACCTTTGATGTCTAAGCAAAATGAAAAGCACAGCATATTTAGCATGTCAATTCCCTGTGTTGCAGCACCCTTGCATGCTTGCACCAAACAAATAAAAACTAGATCACATATTGGTGTAAGCTGAGGTAGTAGGAACCTGAAACATAAAAACAACAAAGCACAAAAATATCAACATTCTACCTACTTCAATTTGAACTTTTCCCACAGTTTAAACATTACAAGGTTATGAGTGACCTCTAGATGACATGTTAAAAACTGGAACAAGTTTTATGCCCAGCAATATAACAGCTTCTAAGCAAATCAAAACTCTGGGCTGGAGAGCAGCAAACATACATTTAAATTAAATATTGTATTTCTTTAGACATGGTGACTTGACCAGTGGTCTACCGTCTATGGTCACTGAAGCTGTGGAAATGTTTACGAAATATGTATAAAAAATGATGCTTCAACCAACCATGACAATTTGATGGTTTGGTTTGTGCCACCTACACAAAATAATAGATTGAAACAGCAATCAACATCCCTAGTTAAAATTGATGTGAAAATGATCAATAGCATGTCAAAAATTGTATTGCTTCTTTAGTTTACCAAATTCTAATACTCACCTGGACCAGGGGAAGGACACATTATAAATGGGACTCAATTTCAACCTCATAGGGTTACAATACAATTTCTAAAATTTAACCTATAAAAGTTTTAAGAAACTGAAATAAAATCCATTTCAACAACAGTGGTAGGATTTTTTAGCCTGTCTGATCGCTGAAAGTGCACAAATAAGCAAGGCATGAGTCAAGCTATTGAAATAAATTCTAAAGAAAAACCAAGAATAGTATTAAATTTTCAGCTGGCCAGTGTTAAAGGCATTAACCCGCGCACCGACGGGGGTCTGCGGCCTGCGCCAACTTCGCACCGACGGGGGGGGGGGGGGCGGATGACCGCCCCCCCCGGAGATCTCGAGAACGAAGCAAGATAGCGACAAGCGGTAAACGGCATCGGATACGCACGGACAAGGTCTACAATTTTTACAAAGGTCATTTTCAGGTCAGGTCAAAGATGACGTCACAGGGGTCGAAAAAGTCAAAATGGCGGCACTAGATATGGAGAGTTTTTCTCGAATAACTTTCGAATTAGTCAAGAAAGGAACAAACTAAGGGCATCATCGTGATCCTCTCGTCAATCCGCATCGAATGATATATATGTTGACCTCGAAAGGTCAAGGTCAAAGGTTGACCTCAGGTCACGTGACCTCGAGGTCATCATGTATATCATTCGATGCGTCTTGACGAGCTGAACACAATGAGACCATCCGCGCGGCTGTATCTTGTTCCTGTACGGAGTTATTGGCAAAAAACCTTTGGTGACCTTTGATGACGTCATATGACCTTACAGCTGCCCAACAGCAAAACAGACCTCAAGGTAGTGAAGGTTGATCGTATATGAAGTCATGTATGGTATATGGGGCCATTCCGACCCGTTTTAGTGGTAAAAACAGGGAGTTGATTTTTCCCCCATTGACTTATAATGGGGAGGTCGCGAAATTGACCTGACCTTAGGTCACCGACATCAAAATTTCGAGATATACAAATTGTAGCTACTAATGACCTAATAACATCCTGCGACTTTCAAAGGCCTCCGACATCTACTGTAGCTCTGGCACGGTGACAAAAATTGCAAAAAAGTGACTTGAGGTTGGGTCATTCAAAGTGACCTGGTGACCTGACCTTAAAAGTTAGGAGGTTCAAACTTGCACACCATATGTAAAATTGATGGGAGAATAGTCGTACCAAATTTCGCGGCGCCTAGCGGTTTTCCCGCTATCCGCGAAAAACCTCAGGGGGGGGGGGCGGATATCCGCCCCCCCCCCCGTCGGTGCGCGGGTTAAGGTTTCACATGGACTTTTCATAAGAGCACTTTAAATTATTAGACAGGCTTAAAAAATCAGACTTTAGCTGAAACTCAGAGAATCCTTATTTTATCAATTGTTATCATTGGCCAATGCATACTTTAACCCATAGCAGTGACTGACATAGCAATAACGTTACATACTATTGTGTTGCATTCATTAATTTTGAAGGGCAAAAGGACCAATTATAGTAAATTCTCAGATATTCATCAAATTAAAATGCCATAGCCCTGAAATAAGACAAGACGTTAGCAACCCAGCAAATTACTTGAACATTTCAGAAAGCTATTTGGTTAGAAGAGTAATGGCCACCATTGGTGTACGAAAAAGACAGTTTTATTTTTTAACATAAAGCAAATGAATATTTGGGCCTCAAGGCCTAATATACAGCCTTGCTAGTTGCTTGAAGGAATATTTTGATTTGCTCTAATTTCAACCAAACTGTTATGCCATTTCTTTGATATATCATCCCAAAATATATATTGCAAGTTAAATCATGAAAACTAGGCATTTTTTCAGTTGAAACCAATCATTTATCCCAAAAATGAGAATTTATCATTGAACTGCGCCACTTTTGTACCATGAGCTACTGCGATGGAGGCCATCTTTGAGCCGCAAAACAAAGCGGAAGTGGCGTGCTACGAGAAAATTTAATTGTTTTATCACCTTCATGCATTTCACGAAAACTCTTACCATGCTGGCTTGCCCCTTGTACTGCACAACGAAACCGTGAATTCCAAAAAAGTTTTTGCTTCCGACTTCTTGAGAAATTCCGTTGCTAACCACACAAACACACACCACACCATCCCAAACTGCTACAACAGCGCCATCTCTCCCCCGATTGAAAAACAGAACGACAACAAAGTTTCAAGGTCAAAACAACGCGGGAAGAGGGGAACCCACGTGGCCATTTCTTCACCAGCGGCACGGTATATCTTGCGGTATATAGAGAACTGCGGAGCGGATGAAGATCTACTACTACTGCGCGTGTCTTTAGTGCGTCGCCTTGAGTGCGTCCGGGGCCCTGTTTCACGGCGGAGCGCTGCAGTGCGCTGCGCGCGTCGGCGCGTTGGGTTTCCATGGCAATATCAACAAACTTCCCTCTGACGCTACGCTATGACGTCATCGCAAAAGGCTAGCACCCAAGCGCCAGCACCATCAGCACGCTAGCAGCATTCGCACTCAAACCTCTGTTCTCTGTCGACTTGGTTCTTTAGGACCTCTGTTCCAAACGCGATTCATCATAAGCTAACGGATCGCACGCAACGTCATTCGAGTGACGTCAGGGGTACGCCTCAGCTCCCAGCGCGCTGCAGCGCGCGCAGCGTCGGGCGGTGAAACAGGGCCCGGGAGGGCTGGGTGCGCGTACAAAGTGTTGTTTCGTTGTTGTGGGATAAGGGCGCGAGGAAAAGGTTTGGAAAGTGTTGTTTCGAATTATCTTTGCTTGCGAGAGGTTTTGTGTTATGTGCAATGTGGTTTTGTCCTAAAATCCAGTTTTCCGGTAATTTGTGAACAATTTACAGTCAGATTAGGATGGCGCAGTGTGCGCCACACGCAATAGCTGGCTTTCTTCTGATATGCCTTAGAGCGAGCACGCTTTTTTTCAGTCACGCCTCACGGGATACCAAAGTCCAAAGATTGGCTATGCAATACGCAGACCCTGTCCCTGGAGTGTGGGCTGGGCCGGCATATCCAAACGGCAGGTTATGAAGCAAAAAATGCTGAAGAAATTTTGGGGATTTAGCGATATTGTTGGACAGTACCTGGCCGTATAAACGCTAACCCATGAACAGTGAAAATACTTCAACAAGCCACCACACATGACACAATATCAGCCCGATGCACAGAGCTTACCATCCTGTGTAAGTCTAAGTAAGCTCGCACCGCCAATCGCAAACGCGTATCGAGAGCCGTTGAACTGTATTTGTTGGATGTCACGCCCCTCTCAGCGCAGAGCGGGTGGCGCCCAGTGCAAGCTCACGGTTTCAGCACCTGGCTAAAGGTTATAAAGTGAGGTCTGATCGCAGGCCGCGGGCTGCGCGCCGATCAGTGGGAGGCTGCTCCACTGTCCCAGCCGATCCGGCTGCCTCCACGCGCGCTCCACCGGCAAACACAAACGGACACACGCCATGGTTAAAAAACGACCGTACAAAACTTCGTGCTTGAAGCTGGCAGTCCTTCGACACCACTTGTAAAGTGAAAGCAGCCTAATGACCAGATGCTATGGCGATTTCAGCCTGGTCATACGACACAAAAAGTGACTGCACGGTTTTCCGTCAGTGATACGTAACGTTGACTCGCTGCAAAATAAACCGGGAATGGTATCACCTACATTAGAACAAATTGACGCGTTCTTACACCAATGACCCACCGACCAGATCTCGACGTTGGCCCCGAGGAGCACGGCAGTTCAATGTGTGGTTAGACGCTGCAGATATACACCCTCATATTTACCTTAACAACGCTCATATACGCCTCGTCGGCACAATTCAATTTGAATTCCGATCAGTGACGTGGCATTCACACATGAACAGAATATCACAACAAATAACGATCACGGAATCGTTGCTTGGCTAGCGTCACTTAGTGAATACCGGCCGCACTAGAAGTTCCGGCCGTAATATACGTATTCGCCGCCCTCCACAGAGTCGATGGGCATGAAGGTGACGTTCATCAGCCGCTCGCGCGCCGCCATGTCCCCGCACGGGACGCGCACGTGGGCGCCGAAGCAGCCGGAGGTGCGCAGCGCCGCCAGCGCGCAGGCCACCAGCCGCTTCAGGAGGCTGGCGTCGGCCACGCTCGGCTGGACGGCCAGCTGCAGACAGCCCTTGTAGCGCTCCAGCACGGCGGCCGGTGCGTCCAACGTGTCGTCATTGTGCAGCGCCGCTATACAGTTCTGCCAACATAATAATTACCCATGTCGGTAAATTAAACACATCACCCGTTAGTATAGCAACATATGCTTATATGGTATATGCAGCCCTCTCATGTCCAGGCCAATCGAATCAATCGAGCGAATGAAATCAATCGAGCGAATGAAATCAATCGTGTCCAGATAAATCGAAATCATACAAAACAATAGCACAAGCACGGGAGAAATGTAAGGCGCGAATGAGCGATGTTCCCTACCTCGGCCGGCGAGCGCAGCTCCGGGGAGGTCTTGGGCATCGGGTACTTGGTGCGCAGCTCGTCCAGCCAGGCCATGCGCACCTGGCGCGACAGCTGGTGCGCGTCGGGCGCGGCCGCCACGAACCCCACCACCACCTCGTCGTCGTCCTCCAGCAACAGAATGTGCTCGGGCTGCATCGTCAGGAACGGCGCCACCCACCTAGCCATATCACAGACAAGTGAGAATTCTACACACGCATCTAAACGCCAAGCAGAATGGAAAACTCGCCACCAGGTATTCGACGGCACGTAACGCAATGCAGAGAAAACATTTTTGATTCGCTTATACTAGGGCGATATGGTCTATAGATGCAGTGCTATGATTTCTAATCGAAATGATATCGCAAACAGTTTTTACATGGTGTCCTGTAGGCTGTATCCTCCCTATATTTTCAGACACCCTGGGCGAGCGATCGAGCTGGTGCCGCGTCTCTGACCTGTCGGCACTGAGTTCTGGATACTGCTGGAAGCTGGGGTGGCGGTCCGAGCTACAGTCGCTCCAGATTCCCCGCACGGCGGCCTCGTCAGTGTGCCGGTAAGGTCGGACCAGGTGCACCTTTGTCAACGGGTGCTCCGGGGACTTGTTGGCCATCAGCTCGTTGGCGTTGTCCAGAGGGAGCAATCGCTGCCAATGAAGACGTGTGTTACCACAATATCTGGCGTTTGGACACAGGAAATTTGGGTCGACTCAGCCCTTCACCTGGAGCATTTCCATTTTATAAGACCGCCGTTTCTCGCCGGCTACCATTAGAGTGATTAGCGTTATTTATATCTAATTCATGCTTCATTAATGCGAAAATGTAACAAGCATTTATACCAGTCGGGTGTGAGAAAATCGAGAGGATTAAAACTTGCCTCCAGGTCGCCGGTGAGACCACCACGGAATATCCATGGCTCGTTGTCGCCCGACATGAAGGATTCCTTCCAGCCCCTGGAAAACCCTGGCCAGCCGGGGCAAAAACAAGATCAGCAGGACGCCTAGCCTGAGAGGGGAACAGGATAGCCTGGGCCGGTGAAACAATCCAATGTCAGATAGTAAGTAAATCATGACTGAAATATCTCGATAGCTAAGCTATACGCGTTAATGGTAGCGTCAGAAACTGACTACCGAAGAAGAGCGAGGGAAAGTTACTTTTGAATGGCGTCGTACTTATGGCGTTGGTACTTACATTCACGGGGCTACGTTGAGCCCAAAGGGGCAAAATGCAATAGCCTGGGTAAATATTGAAGTATATGCGAAGATCTTTAACACTGGAAACACTTACCAAGAACCAGCACATAAAATTAACCTTCAATGTTCAAATCAGGCTTTCAATACCCACGACTAGCAAACAGCAAACAACTTGAAGAGCAACTTATCAACATTAGAACCTAGGTAATTACGTTAATGGCCCAGGCTACCCTGTTGCATAGCGGAATGCGCTGGGAGGGAACAGTCGCGATGCGCGGCCACACAGCTTGTCCCTACACAGGCCCTGCCCGGCGGCGCGCGGGAGGCGGGCCGGTCGACGGGAGGCGCCTCGACCGACCGGCCCGCCAGGGAGACGCGGTGCGCACCTCAGGCCCCGCCCCCACTGTCGCCGGGCGGACACCGCAGCTCCGGTGGCTGGTACGCGCCAGCCGCATCACCAATCTATGCTCGCCAGGACACTTATTACAAATTTGTGAAACTTCGGAAACGGTGTCAAAATGAGCATGGCACCAGCAGTTGTTTGGACACCGAACAAACGTTTCGCTGTCCAGACTCGGTCAATAAGACAAATGAGCATCGTTTCTTATTTTAGCGGTCAAAGATAGTTGTCACTTTTGCAATAAATGAAGATAAAGTGTATCCATGCAACGTCCTCCAAAATGGTAAATGCATGCAAAACCATTTTTTTTGCTAATGTTATTTGAAAATTATCCGGACGAATGCAGAACGAAGCCGTCTTTCAACCAGCCGGCCGGGCGAAAGCCACAGCGGGGCTGCGGTGTCTACCCTCGTCATCCCAAGATAACGCACAAACGACAACTCGGAAGTTCAGGCGCGCGCGAATGAGATGGTACTCATTCCAGATAATAAAATGGAATTATTTAAGAGTGCCACTCAATCACAAAATGGAATGATTTTGGCACGGCCATCTCTGGTAAGCGCGCGCCTGGAATTCTGAGGCAAATGGAACGCATCCAGCTGAAACGAGCAAAGGTCAGACTGGGCTGTGGAAAAAGGCGGCGTCAAGCGGGGCGTGGCCTGAGGCTCAGGGGAAGGCACGCTCGGAACGGGCAGGGTGCAGCAAAACCAGCGTCATTATTTCTATTTTGGGTTATTTCTAAACATTAAGTTACGCATTATAAGATGGTTAAGCTGCACAATACAATGCTCCGGGAGAGCCTTCCCCTTAATTCGCGATGCGCGCGCGCTGTTGTGGCACTTGTTCGCAGCTTGCCCCGCAATCGCAGATGCCTGACCGTACCACCTACATGTATAGTTGCCATCGACAAAGGTGCCCGCCTGCTCGCAAACCACACCGAGCGCTGGGAAAGAAAAGATGTAATCGGTCAATCAGACTGCTGCCTCCGATCTTGCCTCTGAGCTCCACTGTTCCAGCTGTTCGGCCACAGAAATGATGTTACCAGTTACTGCCGTGCGCCCCTCCCCCCCCCCCATTAACCCGCCCCGGGCG